GCTCACTCCTGACCTCGGGAGCTGCAGGAGACCTGCTTTTTCTGGGTGCCTCCTGATCTCCACACACTGGCATCCAGGGCTCCTGAGGCTCTGAACTGACCCCCTCTTCCTGGCATGGCCCTTCCCCTTGGGTCAGGCCTGGTGTCCCCTTCTGCCTCCACATCAGGGATTTGGTGAGAATGCAGACTCCAAGACAATACTGTGAGACAGGTGATAGCAAAGAGCACTTGGGGCTGGGGAGGGGACCTGGCAGATGGCTCTGCACAGTGGGAGGATGTGGTGGTGCTGTTGTATCTTTATTTTAACTGTTAAAAAGGCACCCGTCTACCTGGACCCTGCAGGGTACAGGTGACTTGTGGTCACCAGATACAACTATGTAGGTTTGTGCTTATGGTCCACCTGGGAGAAAGCAGGGATGCGAGCCTGTCCCCCACCCCAGAACGGAACCCTGCATAAGGCAGCAGGGACCCTGAGGGAGCAGTCAGCTCAGGCCCCTGGTGGTGGCTGTGTGCTCAGAAGTGAAACCACTGGGCTTTCTGAGGTCACCTCCTAAATTGTGGGTGCTGACTTTGATCCCCAGAAAGACCACCAAGGGCCGAATAGGCCAGGAGGTCAGGGAGGGGTAAAGAGCACCCATCTAAGGTCAGGATGCCTCTGCATCTTCTGCCACCATTTCTGTCTTTCTTTTCAGTCATTGTGACAGAAAAGACAAACATCCTTCTGCGCTACCTACATCAGCAATGGGACAAAAAGGTAAAGGATGAGGGGTTCAGGTGCTGGGAGTGGGGTGGGGCAGACATGCCTCCTAGCAGGGCCTCTTGAGTGAGGGAGTGAGTGGGTGTTTGGGGGCCTTGAGGGTCCAGTAGGATTTTTCCGGGTTGTCGAGGAGAGGGGGAGCCGGTCAGTGGCGGGAACAGCTGTGCGGTGGCCCAGGTTCTGGCGTTGGAAGGCGGGCCGCCGAGGTTAGACTTTCCAGGTGGGCCCTAGAATGTTTTGTTTGTTCTCACATGTGCCTGGCAAGTGCTCTACCACTGAGCCACACCCCCTCGGCCATCTGTCACTGAGCTACAGCCCTAGTTTGTTCCCCCCACCCATTACTCTTACTGAGAAAGAGTCTCACCAAGTTGCCCTGGCTGGCTTTGAACTTGCCATCCTCTTCCATTGCTGGGATCACAGGCATGTGCCACCGTGCCTTAGAATGTTTTTGTTTTGTTTTGTTTTGTTTTTGGCACTGGGGATTGAATTTGGGGTACTTAACCACTAAGCCACATCTCCAGCCTTTTTATATATTGAGACAGAGCCTTGCCAAGTTGCCGAGGCTGGCTCTGAAGAGGCTAGTGATCCTCCTGCCTCAGCCTCCCGAGTTGCTGGAATTATAGGCATAAGACACCACATCTGGCTGTAGAATCTTTTTTTTTTTTTTTTAATGGTGAAATTTACACAAGATTAAAACTCCAGGCAACGTAAGAGGGGATAAATGTGGAAAGAGTTGTCTCCCAGCTGGGACAGTGATGCGCACTTGTGAATAAAAGTCACTTCCCTCAACTTCTGGCATCCTGACCTCTTCCCAGAAGCCACTTTTTGTACATTTGGGACTCTCTTTCTTTGATAGAAATTTCCACATATTATTCAGTAATATGGTTTTTCACTTAATATTGAATATCAGACTGAGGTTGGACGGGACTCCAAGTGAGCTCTCTGAAAATCCAGGGTGCCCGACCCACTGCTTCCATCCCCCTCCCCAGCTGCACAGGCTTTGAGTGCCACCATCCAGGAAGGACACGACCTAAACCATCTGCTATCCTCTTTTCTGGGGATGCAGGGCCCCCCTGTGGCTCCCAGGTGCCCTTTTGCCCTTGGCTCCGTGGGTGCTCCTCTGAGTGTTTGAGAAACGGGATGTGGGGGGTCATGGGAAAGGTCGTGGTGGCTCTCCCCACGAGGTACCCAGGAAATCCCTGCCTGTCACCTGCCATGGGTCCCAGAGGACACTCAGGACAGGGCTTAGTGGGGCAGGTCCCAGTGGCAGGAAGCGCTGCCCAGCCCGGGGCCCCGAGTCACATTTCCCTGCTCCAGGGCTGGCTTCTGACACCACTGATGGGCCAGGGCTGGCACTAGGATGCCAGGAGCTCACAGCCTGTCCTTCCCTTGCCCCCAGAATGCCGCCAAGAAGAGAGAGCAGGAGCAGGTGGAGCTGGAGGGCGAGAGCTCGGCACCGCCCCGCAAGGTGGCGCGGACCGACAGCCCCGACATGCACGAGGACACTTAAGACTCGCGATCCCCCACAGGCGCCTCCTGTTGTGTCTGCTCCTTGGTCGCCCGCCCACCGTGTGTAAGCGCCCTGCCCGCCCGCCTTCCCCGCCGGCCACCCACACCCCGCCGTCCACACCACTTCCAACCTCATAGGAGCCGATGTATTTATTTTCCTTGAGTTTTTATTTATGCTGTAACATGTATCAAGCGTTGGTTAAAGGGGACGTCAGACCCAGTAGTGTGATGTCGATAGATGCTTTTTAAAAAACATTGTTTTTCACCCTTCCCCTGTCCAGGTCCCCCGTCCTGAGAAACTATGTCTCTAGGGTGTAGAGCCAGGGGGTTCTGTGGCCGGGTGGCAGGGATGGGGGTCAGGGCCCTAGGCCTGGCTCTCCCGGACAGCTGAGCAGCCTTCTCCCTCCCTGCTGACCAGTCCAGGCCTCCGAGACTCACCTGGTCTCCACTGCCACGGGAGGTAGCCATGCCCAGACCTCCCTGTGAGCAGGCGGGCAGGGGAGAAGTCGCCCTACTGGATCTTCCTCTTAAGTCATTTTATCATGGACTAGAGCGCTCCGTGTCCTCCCCAATAAAAGGATCTTTCCTACTCGACCTCGAGTCTTTGCTCCACACTCCTCGCCCCTGGAGGACGGAGCCCAAGAGTCATCCTGTCATCACCAAGAGGAGAAGAGGGGCCCCTTGTGCTGGGGCCCCAGGGACCAGCCATATCCTCTCGTGAGCCTGCTGCAGCCGCCATGCTCAAGGCCAAGACCCACTCGGACCAACCCCTCTGCCTCACCTGTCAAGGTGTCCTCAAGGACCAGGTCATCTCTGAGAGACAGTCTATGGTGCCAAAAGTGGAGCTGGGGTCAGCTCACATCCAGGACTCTACCATGCAGGGCCCCATGCCCACCGTCCACTGTGGAGATGGCCCAGTCTTGCTTGGGGGCCTGGGCTCTGAGGGCCTCTGGTGACCTCAGAATGACATTTAGCAGGTGTTGCCAACCCAGGTAGCCTGGCCTCATGGGACCCCAAGTCATATAGGAGTTCTAGTCAGTGTGTTTCCTGGCCTCTCCAGGGGGTCCCTTCACCAGCTGGGCTGGGATTGGGACTGAGCTTGGAACGTAGAGGGTGGTTTGGGCTCTGGGTAGAAGTTCGCCTCCCTGAGCATTTGGCCTGGGCATCTGCTCCTTCTACCCCCGCTGCCCTGTAAGGGGGGCGTGACTCAGTGCTGAGTATTCCGGGGAGTTGGGGGTGGAGTAGGCCCTGGATCTGAGGGGGTGGTTGGGGAAGGTGTGCCTGCCCCCAGCAGTTACCCTGGGGCCTTCTCTGGCTGCCCAACTCTCTTGGGGCAGATGGTGCTGGGTTGGCACAAGTGACTGAACCAGGCCAGCACAGCAACCCAGCTGTGCTTCGAGGCCCAGACACCTTGACCCCAGCTCTCAGCTTGGTGTCTGTACCAAGGCAGGTGCATACTGTAAGGTCCCTGCTCCCTGCAGGCACTGGGCAGCCAGTCAGGAACAGAAGCTTGACCTTGGCCTTGCGGGTCAAGGCAAGGGGAGTGGCAAGTCCCCTTCCCCCCCCCCCCACTTCCAGACCAGTTGGGAATCCCCAGTCCCAGGGGTGGTTCTGACCTGGCAGATTTATGGTGTTACTTGGTCAGTGGTTAAAATGGCAGGACTTCAAAGACCAGGAGACAGTATGGCACCAGGCAGCACCCCCCCCCCCCCAAGGCTCTGAGTCCCCTTTTGAGCTGGGCCTGTCTCCTACACCGACTGATTCCTGGGGCGCTTCCTCCCAGTGCCCTGCCCGCCCCGGCCCACCTGTGGCCTCCCTAGGAGGGAGCAGCCTGTGCACGGCCCCCACGGCTCCTGCTGCCTCAGGAGGAGCCCAGGCCTGAGCCAGCCACTGCTCCCCACCCCTGCCTTTGGGACTCCCCTTGCCCTGATGTCCCCAAGTCCAGACTGCCTTCCTGTGCCTCTCCCTCAGCTACAGGCTGCCATGCTGGCTCCAGTGAGCCATGCCTTCAGGTTTCCCTGAAGTGTGCCCCTTTGTCAAACTGGCTCCCCCTGGGGTGTGGCCACGTGAGGGTCTAACCCTTTAGCTTTTGTAGGGGGACATGCTTGTTGTCATTTTCCCAGATGAATGTGAGGGTCTGACAGGCAGTGTTCCTGTCCCTAAGTCACATGTCCACAAATCCTAGTGATTCCTGTCTGGAATTCGTCCCTTCATGGGACGTCCTGGCTGTTCCTTGATGCCAATCTGTGTTCTGGGCACCCCCAAGTGCACCATCCTCTCAATACCATGACTCTGGGACTGCAGGGCTGGGGTGCCAGGTGCCTTCCGATTTCCATGTCCCATGTTCTTCCCATTGTCCCTGGCTTCCCAGGGGGCAGTTGTGCCAGAAAATTCACCTCTTACACACACACACACACACACACACGCAGCTGAGAGGACCGTGTCACCCCTCTGTCCCTGTTTGACGCTGAGAACTATGGCTGAATCCTTTCAGCATCTTGAGCTGGCCTCCTGTCTGGGTGGCCGGAACCTGACCTGAGCGAGGCCCTGCAGCTCCGCCCCAGGGCTCCCGGGCCCAAGTCAGCCCCCGGATCTGGGCCGGCACAGCCTGGAGTTTTCCATCCGTGGCCCCAAGACCCAGTTCTTGGGAGGAGGCCCCTGGGCGTCAAGTCAGCCTGTGGCAGGTCCTAGTCCCCAGGGCTCCCAAGCCCCCTTCCACTTGCTCTGACCTCGGGCACTGTTGAAATATACTTTTTATTGCATTTCTGCCGTTTTACAAAAATATGACAAAATAAATTAAAAACAAATAAATAATCGCCTATTCTGTGTGTGTTCTCTATTGGTTTGGGGTTTCCTTTCGCTTCCCCCATCCTGGTCGAAAGGAAAACGGCAGATAGGGGAACCCGCCCTGACGGGGCGGCCAATACTGGTGGCTGTGGCTGGGGACGGAGGGCAGGGCAAAGCGCGTTTTCGGGCTGGCCGCCCCGATAATGACTGATATTGCAAACGAGAAGAGGAAGGCAGGGCGCGGGGCTAGTGCCAGCCGCTGGGCCAGCACACGGCCTGGGGGCTGGGGCTGGGGCTGGGGGAGGGCGCGGGGCCCCCCGGGGGCTCGGAGGTGAGCGGCAGCGGCGGGGGCGGGAGGCTGTAGAAGCTGGCGTCCCCTGGCAGCGGCTGCAGGGCTGGAGGGGGGCCCGGGAGGGCACAGGGGGGGCACTCAGCGGCGGGCGGGGCCTGGCGGGGCGCGGCGCCCTCGCCCCCGCAGCCCCAAGGCCCGTCCCACTGCCAGCAGCTGGCGGGTGGCGTCGGGGGCCGGGACAGCGGTATTGGTGGCGGCGGCGCGGGGCTCCGGCTGCGGCGGGTGCGGAAGGCAGGGGCGCCCGCGAGGGCCAGCGCTGTCCCTGCGGAGGCGAGAGGGGCCGTTCCGGGGGCATGCCGCCCCCGCCAGACCCCACGGGGTGGGCGACCCTGCCCGCACTCCCTCCCGGCTTCCAGGCACGTGAAAGGCCTTATTGCTTCAGATCAGAGACGGGGTGGGTGACTCCCCTGGGCGACTTTGCATCCCTGGCCTCTCCCAGGCACCGGGGAGGGGAGTCTGAGGAAGTCCCTCTGACTTCTGACCTATGCCCTTGTACTGCAGCTACCACCTCTCAGGCGACCTGGGGATCAGACTACTGGACCCCCCAGACTAGGGTTGGGGCAGGCAAAGTGGTAGGGGTCCTGGGATGTGGCCCGTGCCAAGGCTCTGCACTAAAGTGGGTGCAGCCTGTAACCCAGTGCCCTGGGTGGGCAGCCCCAGCCTCCACCTCCAAAGAAGTCCTTCCTGAACACCTGGGCTGCAGGCTGGGGATTTGCATAGAGGTCTGGGGGGGTCCAGTCCCCCAGAGTGAGCCGGGCATGGGAGCAGGAGAGGGTGGGCCAGGAGGTAAAGGGGCCTCCCTCACCTCTTCTGGCACCAGAGCATGGTGGGGGTACCCTGGGAGGGGTACTAGACAGGGGGCTTTGGCGTCCCTCCCTGGGGGTGTGAGGAGGGTCAGGCACAGGGCTCCAGGCTCTCCAGGGTCCCAGAGACTGAGCAGGCTTGACTTAGAGGCTCCATGTCCCACTGACCCAGGTCCCCTACCAATACCAAAGACGGGGCCTGCGCTGTCCCCTTCAGCCCTTCTCCCTAGGCCTGGCCACCCCACCCCTACCCCCAAAGCCGGGCCCAGCGTCCCCACCCCCGAGTTAAAGCTTGTGACCTGAGCCTTCCTCTTCGGGCCGGGGGGCTTCCAGCTCCTCAGCTGAGGCCTCGTCCGCTGGCCCACTCCTCTGGGCCCGGCCGCTGCCACCGCTGGGGGTCCCGTCCTGTCGGGCCTGCCCGCCCGCCCCGTTGGACCCGGTCTCAGCCCGGGTCCCGCCAAAAGGGAAGAGCTTGCCGGCGTGGAAGGCCTTGGGTGGCGAGTGGCTGCGCTCCGGATCCCTTCGGGTCTCGGGCGACTTGAGGAACTTGAAGCTGAGGAAGGCCGGTAGGCGGGTGTCACTGCCGGTGGGTGACTGGGCAGAGGGCTGCCGAGCGGCAGGGCCAGTCCCTGTGCCGGCCAGCGAGGACGTGGCCCCTGATGACAGGAACTTGCCCTGTAGCGGGATGATCTGCTTCAGCTTCATGACATTGTTGGGTGCCAGCAGGGACCCCGGGCGCTTGGGCCGCTCAGGCCCATGGCTGCCCGCTCCGCCACCCTTGGCTTTGGCAGAGGACTTCTCGGAGGCGGCGGGGTCCAGCCCAGCGCCCTCAGCCCTGGCCTCCTCCCGGCCACTGGTGTCACGCTCCCTGCGGGCATGGTGCTCCGCGTGGCGCTGGCGCTCCTCCTCCTCCCGCCGCCGCCGCTGCTGCTGCTGGTAGCGGTGCTGGGCCTGGCGCTCGTGTCTCTGTGGGCAGAAGCACACAGCTAGGGGCCGGGAAGGCAGGGTTGGCCAGGCCATGCGGACTCTGCGGAAACGGCCAGCTGAATCCCTCGGTGGAGGCTGAGGCTCCCCACTAGAGAGAGATCCAGAAGCTTATTGGGCACCAGCAGGATGCCCGGACCCAAGCTGGGGCTCTCTGAGGAAGCGGGGAAGGGATCCAAATGTTTATTGGGCACCAACTGCATCCCTGGACCCAAGCCGTTGCTTTCTGGGAATTGAGAAGAAAACAAATGTTCACTGGCCACCAACTCTGTCCCTGGCCACAAGCCAGACAGTGTCTTAGGAACTGGACCCTGCTTTCTGGAGAACCAGCAGGACAAGAGAGCCTGGACTGGAGCAGTGTGACTTTAAATTAATTACAATTCGTCAAGGGGTGGGGGAGCGGCTCAGTGGCAGTGCGCTTGCCCAGTATGTGTGAGGACCTGGGTTCCATCCCAGCACTGCACGAAAAGGAAAAAATATGATTTTTTTTTAATATAAAATAAAATGAGTTCCTCATTCCCCTCGGCCCCATTTCAAAGTGCTCTTTAGCCACCTGTTGCTTGGGGCTACTTGGACAGCACAGATTTGGAACATTCCCGCCTTCCAGGAAAGGTCTGCATCTGAAGATGCCATGGAGCTCCTCGGCCACTCTGTAGCTTTTGGAGGAATATGCAAGAGGCTGGACCTCTCCTAGGAAGCATCCACCATGCCTCTGGCCCCAGACAGGATGCTCTCAGGGGGCTGGTAGTTTTGGATGCCATGGAGATACTGAAAGGGACCCAGGCCGACTGATAGTCATCCTTCAGTATCTGCAGGGCACTGGCTCCAGGACCCCCGCTGATGCCAAAATCTGTGGACAGGCAAGTCCTTAATGAAAAATGGACAGTGTTTGCATAGAACCAACGGACATCCCCTGTCCACTTTAAATCGTCTCTAGGTGACTTAGAAAAGCAATCCCTTGTAGATGCACTGTCCACCGTTGTATACTGCATGGCTTAGGGAATCACGACAGAAAGTCTCAGCTGGGCACAGTGGTGGGTGCCTGGAGTCCCAGTTACTTGGGAAGCTGAGCGGGAGAACCGCTGGAGCCCAGGAGTTTGAGACCCCATCTCAAAAAAACCAAGCAAGGAAGGAGGTGGGTGGGAGTCTGTGTGTGGTCAGCCCAGATGGCGTCCTTGGGTGCGGAACCCAGGGGAACTGAGAGCCGACGATCGTTCTAGGCTTTGTACCTCTCTGCACGTTTCCCCTCTTCCTAGGGACTTGGCCCCAGAGAGCCACTGCCAGGGACGCCCCGCCCAGCAGACAGGTCCTAGGAAGCAGCTCCTCCCAGCCTACATACCTTGAAGGCCTCTCGTCGCTGATACTCGAGCTTGGCCATCTCCTCGGCCACCCAGCCTGGGATGTCGGGGATGGCCACATGGATGAGGTACTTGAGGAGCAGAGCGAAGTGCTGTGGGGATCCGAAGAGGAGGCTACAGGCTCCGGGGACGCCCTCCTGCCTGCCGCCCGGCTCCCCCACCAGGTCGCCAGCCCCCACCTCGAGCACCACCACGGACACAATGGCTGCTTCCGGGCTCAGCCAAGGGAAGAGGCGCTGCAGCTGCCCGCACTGGCCGATGAGGTAGCAGTTCACCACGATCGCCAGCACACCCATGGCCTCCATGACCTTCTGCAGGGGGGCGGGGATCTCAGAGGAGGTCCAGCGGCCTCTCCAGACCCCCGCTCCTCCCAGCAAGACCCAGGTTTCCCCTGGACCTTCAGCTAGGAGCCCTTGGCCTGCCCCCTGCCCCACCTGCCACTGGCCGATGCTCTCGACACGCTGGCCGAAGGGCCGCTGCAGGCCTGTGCACAGTTTGAAGGCGTCACTGCGGATCTCGATGAGGTTGTTGACCAGGGCACAGAGCGCGGCCAGCGGGAAGGCGGACGAGAAGAGCACGACGTAGCCGAACTGCACGAACATCTCCTGGTAGTCCTGGAAGGTGTCCTTCGGGGCGAGGGGGGGCGCTCTCAGGCCACCTTCCTCCGCCAGCCCCCTCCCTCGGATCTCCCCTCGTGGACCAGAGTCTCTCTCCATCTTTGGCCTCAGACTGGGCGAGAGGCCTCGCTCACCCAGCTGGACATTCGTCCTGGGCTCCCGTTCTGTAGCTCCCAGCCATCAAGGGCCCCACTGCCCGATGGCCTCCACCTCTGCCCGCGGCCTACCTCGTACTTCCTCATGCAGCTCTCCAGCTCTGCCTGGGTCAACTGGGCCGAGGGCTCCTCCTCAGGTGGGTCGATCCAAGATGACCGGTTCTGCCTCTTCTGTCTCCCGGCAGAGTCCCCAGAGCCGGGCTCTGGGTCTGGGCCTCCATCAGGCCCTTGGTCTCGGCCCTCGCCCCCGGCCCGACGGAGCAGGATGGTTGGGGGCTCTCGCTCAGGGCTGCCAGGAGGACCCTCTGGCTCGTCGTCTTCCTCGGCCAGTGTGAACACGCCTGGCTCCAGCCCCTTCTCCACCATGGTGGGGCTTCCCTCCTCCAAGAGGGCCTCTGGGTTTGGGCCAGGCCGTCGCCGCCCCGCCCCGCGCTCAGCAAAGCTGACCTTCTTCAGGCGGAGCCCACAGTCCAGGAGGCCACCTTCCTCGCCCTCGTCATCGTCCTCCTCCTCTTCTTCCTCCTCTTCCTCCTCCTCTTCTGCCTCCTCCTTGCCCCCCTGGGGCCCGTCCCTGACCTCCCCACCCTCCCCGGCTGGTCTCCGCTCCACTGTGGCCTCTTCCTCCTCCTCAGGTGCCCCGCAGCCCCCACTGAGACACCTGCGGCCCCCCCCACTGCCGCCACCACTGCCCTCGTCGGCCTGGGCTTCGAGGCGGCGAGGCACAGGGCGCCTGAGGCTCAACAGGCCGAGCAGGGCTTGAACCAGCTCCCAGATGGCCCGCAGACCGAGCTCGCCACGACCCAGCCTGCGGTACAGGTGTGGCTGCAGGACCTCACGCACATTCTGGAGGAACTGGCGGGTGATCAGCAGCGTGGCCAGCATCTGGGGGCAGGAGGGGAGTGGAGAGAGGCTGCATGGGGGACAGGTGGGAGGCCCAGGCACCAGAACAGGGCACCCACCCTCCAGAGCACCTTCCGGGAGCAAGTACCCAGATGCACACACGGAGCCCAGTTCTTAACTCTGCCCCTCTGGATGTCCCTGGACACAGAGGCCCCCAGCACCCAGCCACCAATCACCTGCCATAGCCCAGCTCTCCACAGCGCACGTAGCCAACCCACAGGGCAGGCATGGGGCGCTGCCACCCCGACGAGGCCTCAGCCACTGCCCGGGGCCTGGCTGGGCCCCCTCTGCCTGTGCTAGGCCACCAGAGCCCCAGGCCCCTCTGAGCATGCGCCCTCAGCCTGGCGTGCCCGGTCCCCAGCACGGCCATGCTGCCCACCCTGGCGGGGGCTCGCCACCTGCCCGTACTTTGGCCCGGGCCGAGAGCAGAAGGCCCCGGAGGGAGAGGAGCAGCAGGCGGAACCGCAGGGCCACGAGCGGGACCAGCACCGCCCGCAGCTGCCGCTCAAGGCTCTGGGACAGGGACAGGACGAGCAGGAGCTGTGGAGGGACCGACGGACAGATGGACAGACAGATGGGGGGGTGACAGGCAGAGAGAGGACAGACGGACGGACGAACAAAGAGGAGAGAAGGATGGAGGGGGGGGGAGCGGCTGGAGAGCCCTGGACCCCGTGTGCCAGGTCCGGCCCCCCGGCTGCCGCGGGAGCCAGAGGCTCACCTCTTTGAGGCGCTCCATGTCCTTGAGGTAGAAGCCGATGTAGAAGAGGCTCAGGTACGAGTTGACAAACTGGAACTGCAGGGAGCAGGCGGCCGTGTCACTCCCAGTTCCTCTCACACCCCCTGCCCCCAGCCTCTCTGTCGTCCCCTGCGGTCTCCCTTGGAGGCTACTCACCAGGACGACCTTGATGATGAGGTGCTTCTCGTAAGCGCTCTCTAGCCGGTAGTTCTCTAGGGGCCGAGGAGGAGGAGTGTGAGGGGCCACCCTGGCTGCCCACGACCAGTGGGACCCCAGGAGGCAGGGGCAGCCTTCCTCCTGGGGGAGCAGCGGGACTCCCCTGGCAGAGCATACCCATGTCGTTGAGCCAGATGGCCAGCTTCTTGTAGCCCTCGGCGCTCACGCTGACCAGCAGGGCCAGCACAACCTTGGGCAGGAAGCGGGCGAGGCGGGGCAGCCCCTTCACACTCAGCACCAGCTCCTGTGGGCCCAGGAGGTTGGTGACAGGGCTCGGCGTGGCTCGGGCAGGGCTGGGCGAGTGGTCGGCGGGTCGGGCTAAGGCCAGGGAGAGGGGCTCAGGTCACCTGCAGCTGGAAGCATCCCAGCATGAGCAAGAAGACGCAGGCCAGGCAGGCCAAGCACAGCGGCAGGCTCACGAGCAGCTGGAAGAGCAGCCGCTTCCACGGTGGGTAGTAGAACTCCTCAGCGCGGGTCACGGGGCTGATGCGGCGCACGCCCTGGGGGAGGTGGCCAGCCCAGCGTGAGACTGCAGGGGTCACCTCCGCCCTATCTGCCCTTTCTGATTCTCCAAACTCAGTTTCCCTCCACGACACCTTTTTTCTTGGGGTACCTCGTGCCACCTCGTGTACCCTTTCTAGTTCCTCAAATCCAATTTCCACACCCCCAGGAGCACGCACCCCCGTCTGACATGCCGCCTCTTGCGCAGCCCAGGCCACCTACGCGCTTGCTCCTGCAGCGTCTCCACCATGCGCTCGCTTTTACCTGGTTCTCTGAATTCCTCGACCCAACCTTGGACTGACCCTGAACTGGGGACGTGGCTCCTCCACAGCTTCCCCAGGTGAATCCAGTGTTCCCCACTTGTAGGCCAGCTCTGCCCCCCTCCGTTTCCACTCCTCTAAGAACAGTGTTGACCAGATCACGTTGAAGAGCGCAAAGACCACGCAGGACACATCCCGGCTTGTCTGTGGGTGGCAGAGGAGAGCCAAGCCATCGGGCGAGCTAGCCCAGGAAGGAGAGTGTGTTGGGACCCCCAGCCCCACCCAGCCCTGGTCTGATACCTGATCAGCCTCCGTGAATGTGTATAGGACAGAGCCAAAGACAGCGGGGTACACCATTGCTGACGTGTAGAAGCCCAGCCAGGCAAAGTACATGGCAATCTTCACACCAAAGTAGTCACAGATGTCATCTGCCAGGCGAGGGGGAGTCCCAGTCACCTCCACCTGCCTCCCGGGACCCCTGTCCACCCCCTAGCCCGGGACCTCACCTAAAGGCTGGTTTTCACACACAGCCTGCACCCATGACTTCATGAGGCGGTTCAGGATGCGCTGTTCGTGGACCGGGAACACCTGCTGGATGATCCCACGGGCCGCCAGCTCCGGGACTGTGGGGAGAGGAGCACAAGTGACCCCAGCTACTCCACCATGCTCCCAGCCGGACTGGCCTTCCTTGGCTGGAACCACAGCTTTTTGCTTGATCTTAAACCCACAGAGGCTCTTCCCAGGGAAGAAGTTCTGGATGGACGGAATACCTGATTCCCCTTCAGAATCTGGGAGATGCAGGGGCAGACAGGGAAGGTTACAGCCCCCATAGGGAACCATGTTTTTAAGTAAGCCATTTGGCTTTAGTTTGTGACCCTAAGGAATGGCATAAACTGGCATCAGAGGGTGAACGAATTTGTGTCGGCACCTTTCCTAGAGAAACCAAAGCCATAGTACACCAAGCGCTGTCCATGGTCCTGCCCCTACCTTATTCCAGAAAAGGGCGCAGCCTGGACATACCTCCTAGGGGATAAGCCCGACCCCTTTACAAAGGCCACGCCCCTTCAACTCATTGAGGGGCCTGATCCAGGTAACTGGGGCCATGCCCCTTAAGCTCATTGGCTGCCAACCCTTTACTAACCCCTGACTGGATGGAAACAGACCCCACCCTTCTACCCCCTAGATTGTCCTCTAAGAGCCCTGCCCAGCTCTATGCCTGTGCTTGTAGTGTTGGCCCCGCCTCGCTCACTGATTGGCTGGTCCTCCAGGAACCGCACGTTGTGCAACGCCTCTCCCTGCTTGGCACGCAGGTTCTGCAGCCAGAAGCGGATGATGCTCTGGCGTTCCTGTTGGGAAGAGGTTGTGAGCTCTCTGGGCAGCACCCCAAGGCTGGGCCACACTCGTGGGACGGGCCTGACCTGGGATGTGAAGAAGCGTAGCTCACTCTCCACATTCTCATAGATGAAGTCTTCTTCGCAGGAGAAGCCGCGGGTGCCCCCACCGAACTCGGCCTTCACAGCCTTGCGCAGACCCAGCTCGTCGGCCCCTCGGAGTAGGCTGCAGGGAGGGCAGAGGAGATGGGCTCACAGAAAGGCCCCGGCCCACCATCCTGGATCTAAGGACACACACCTGGTGGCTTCTTGGTACAAATGCAGGGTGGCTGGATAGCATGGTTGGCTCTTGGAAGGGCAGGGGGCCGGGTGCAGGGTCAGCAAGAGGCCAGAGGCAGGGGACTCGCCTCTCATATGTGGCTGTGACGAAGAAGGCGTAGGCACGCGTGTGGCGGTGGTGGCGGACTTGCACGATGAGCTCAGGGATGCCCACACGGATGTGGTTCAGCAGCCATAGCAGCGTGTGGTCATCAGTGGTGTCTGCCAGGGGGCACAGGGACGGATGGCTCTTGCCAAGAGGGGACCCCAAGACCACCTACATATTCCCACTGTGGGAAGCTGAGCTCAGGAGGGCTGCCTTTGGGCAGTGGCAGCGGGAGTGGGTACCTGGAAAGGTCATCAGCACATCACAGTTCTCCGTGGGAACGGTCTTCATCCATGCCTTGTGGGACACCAGGTAGCGACCCGCCTGCAGGAGCCGCTTCCCGAAAAGCTTATCTGGGGGGATCGGTGTGGCAGGTCTGGGTGAGGTCACACCTGGACCCAGACTTGGCCTCAAGTCTCAGTCCCTCCGGCCCCCACCGAGCTCTCCAGCACTCAGCCTGACTTTCAAGCTCGGTTCGTTTTCCTCTCTCCATGTCCTTGCACCAGCCAGGCCCTTCTCCAGGAATGCCCTTCCCCCAGGTCCTCCCTTACAAATCTTACTCATTCTTGAGGCCCAGCTCCGCCTACCGAACCACAATCGATGGGGCGCCCACTAGCAGCCCTGAGTGCTTCACCACATTATGACAGCGCGTCCTCACAGCAGCCCCATGAGTTGGGCGCGGTTCTTACCCCCATTTCACAGGTGAGGAAACTGAGGCCCAGTGTGTTTAAGTCACGCACCCAAGGTCACACAGCCGAGCTGGGATTCGAACCCAGGACCATGTGATTCTGTATTTTCCACGGAGAGGCTACCGCATTCCAGCCTGGCGGTGATCCCTCAGCCCAGGGGTGGCAAGGCTCAGCCCCAGGCCGGGGCTCTTTGGAGGGGCGTGTCCGCGCTTTTGCGCTGGGACCCCCGCCCGCTGCACGGCCCAGCCCCGCCCGCCGGGCCGCAGCCGCAGTGCTGGGAAGAGCGGGCCCCTCCGCCAGACACCAGGCCCGGGACATTTGACCCCAATCTTCCTCCCTGCCCAGCCGACGCGCGCACCCCAGGCACCTGCAACCCAGTCCGCTCCAGCCGCCGCACACATACCCAGAACTCCAGACGCAGGGGCTGCGGGCTCGCCCTCCGGCGGGGGCCTCTTGCCGCGCTCTCCCTCCAGGGACGTGCCCCCGGCGCCCGAGGCAGTCTCGGCCATGGCGAGGACAGGTCAGGTTAGGGGCTGTGGGCGGCTCGGGCGCCGGGGGGTCGCGGACTCATGGGGCCAGTGCCGCCGCCGAGCGCGCGGGAGGAGGAGACAAAGGCCGCGCCCGCCCGCGCCGGTCGCCGTCCTCGCGCGCCCGAGCGCAGCTTCTCGTCGCCGCCCGAGCAGAACCTGGATTCTCTTTCCCCCGCCCGCCGCGCGTCACTCTCCAGTTCTCAATCCTGCCCGCCTGCCTGGCTCTCTGGTTCTCGTAGCCGCCCGTGTTGTTTTCCGAGTTTTGTTCTCGCCCGCCCACTTGGATTTCTGGTGCTCGTGCTCGCCCGCACCGAGGGTGCATTTTCCAAAGTGTCCCTACCTCCCCACCTTCGTTACCGCCTTGCAGCCTGTTTCCCCATTTGCAAGCTACAGAATTCACAGACCCGACTTGGAATCTTAGATGGGCGTGATTTGACTGTGGCAGGATGTGGGAGTAGGCGGCCTGGTCAGGGGAGATTCCTGAGAACAATAACCACCTAGTAGGGTAGCGAATAAATAATTACAGCAGGTTCTGCCTCAGGGTGTTTGCACGTGCTGTTTAGCTGCGGAGGACACCCATCGCGTTCTCTTTTCCTGGTTAATTCTTACTCCCTTCAGAATGTAAGCTCCTTTGAGGGGATCCAATAGTAATAGCAAATAAAAGTAGTGCTCTTAAGTTTACATTTCAGATAAACGAAGAAATATTTAGTTACATCTTAAATGTTACATAGGATATAGTTATACTAAAACAGTGTTCGTTGTTTATTCAAAATTTAGTTGGCTGTCCTGTTTTCTCTAACCCCTTCGGTGCTGGGGATGAAATCCAGAGCCTCCTGCAGCCTAGGCAAGCGCTCTACCACTGAGCTACACTCCCGGCCCTAGGCATCGCCTCTTTTGTCTTGTACCGCGATCCTTGACCATCATGAATAGCCCGCTCCATCTGGGCGAGAACCCGGTGAAGGCAGGAGCCCAATCTGGTTCTCAATGCCTGGCACACAACAGGCATTTGATGTATACTTGTTACAGACGGAATCACCAGAGATGGAGAGTGTCATCGTTTATTCCTATTTTAAGTGAAAAAGTTGAGCAGGGCGGGACATGAGAGAATTACAACTCTAACCTGCCAGATTTTTCCCGAATTGCAGATGAGCTGCCCGTCCGCTTTGATCGAGAACCAGAGAATTGGCCGTGCGAAGGCGCTCCCGAGACCCCGCCCACTCAGTGCCTGGAATTCCACCATCAGCGATTTATTCTGCTGTTCAGCGCTGTCCTGGGTTAACCTGAAAGTAATTTCCAAGACTCGGTTGCCTGGCTTTCGGGGAGCCCGAGACAGACCGGACTCTCGGAAGACCTGAGCCAGAGAGGGCCAAGCAGCCCAGTGAGGGGCAGAGGGCTTCCAGGAAGGTTTCCTGGAGGAGGGAACTCTGAACTAGGCCTGGAGGATGAGTTTGTGAAACCAGGAAAGGCACCAGAGGCCTAGAGAGAGCCAGCAGAGGGTTGGGGAGCGGGGAGAAGCTGGAGGGTCCCGAGAAAACCAAGCAGCAGAAGTTTGGGCAAGGTTTTCCCTGGGCCAGAGGGTGTGTTCCCCGGAACTCATCCGTCGCATTCACTGAGATGCTCTGAGCTTCCGGTCCCTTCCTGGGAGCAGAGAGGTGTAACCCGCTTTTTGGACAGCAGTACAGGGTACGCTTGCCTCGCTTAAGGCTACGGAGTGGTCAAGCGGAAAGTACGGGACTCGAATCCTCGCCGTAATTTCCACCGTCCTGGCCAAGCGCTGTCCTCTCTCCTACTCGTTTCCATTGTCTCAGATCCCTGCCGCGTTAGGACCCTAAAAATTCGGTCTATTGTTGCCGGGGGAACATCTTTGCGGGGCACTCAAGTCCTGGAGCCCCCGCCCCCCTTCCTAGCACCAGCCCACGGGAATGAAGGTCTTCAGCCGGTGGGCGGGGCGCCTCCGCAGTGGCCCAATGATAGTCGAGGACGTAGAAGGTTCCCAGTAACGCCGTGGAGTAGGCGGGGCGTCCTGCCCGGACTTGAAGCGGCTCTGAAAGGTCCGACAGGCGGGTCGCAAGTTGTATATCCATGTGGCGGGAGCTGTGGACCTTGGCGGCCCGGGCGGCTCGTGGGTCTCGCAGGTGGGGCGACCCCGCCGAAGGGGTGGGACAGCGAGAGGTGCTTCAAGGGCCCCAAACCCGCTCCTTAGGTTCCCAGGGCCCAGTGTCCTGCCACAGAGGCACCACTCGAGTTCTTCCAAGCTCCAATCTGCCCATCCCTTTGCTGCAGACCCCACGTCAGGGTCACCTTTTGCTCTCAGTCACTTTATGGCTTCAGAGTCTCCAATCTGTACCTCCCCCCCGCCACCTGGAGCTACTCCTGACCATCCAGTCTTCGACCCATCTCCACCTTAAGACAGAGCCGCCAAGCTGTGCTGACTTTCCTCCTCTCCTGTCCCAGACTGTGCACAGGCCAGAGCAGCCGTGCCCCGGCCTTCGGTTCTGGGGCCACCATCTTCGCGCTAAGCTCAGGCCAAGGCCGCTGCGGCATAGCAGTGATCCGAACCAGCGGCCCCGCCAGCAGCCACGCTCTCCGGAGCCTCACGGCGCCCCGGGACCTGCCCCCGGCCCGCAGCGCCAGCCTACGTCTGCTCAGCGACCCGCACACTGGGGAACCGCTGGATCGTGCACTGGTGCTCTGGTTCCCTGGTGAGGGACCCCAGAACTCGAACCTCCCGTAGTGCCCATGGCCCGGTTTCCCCCCTCCTGGGGTTTGCCCAGGCTGTGCCTTCTACCTGAATCTCATCTCTTTGTCCACGAGGTCCCCAAAGTTTCACGGGTGAGGACTGTGTGGAGTTCCACGTACATGGAGGCCCGGCCGTGGTGAGTGGAGTCTTACAGGCTCTGGGTGAGTCACAGTCTCAGGTTCGCAGCCTGGCTCTGCCCATGGGCTTGGGGGACCAGCGGGTTCAAGGACCTGGGGCCTCCCCACAGGCAGTGTGCCAGGGTTACGGCCAGCTGAGGCTGGAGAATTCACCAGGCGGGCGTTCGCCCATGGGAAGCTGAGCCTCACAGAGGTGGAGGGGCTGGCCGACCTGATCCACGCGGAAACTGAAGCGCAGCGTCGCCAGGCCTTGAGGCAGCTGGACGGCGAGCTGGGCCAACTCTGCCGCAGCTGGGCCGAGACCCTCACCAAGGCAAGTGCCCTGTTTGCTGATCCCTGCCTCTAAGACCCCACCTCTTCATCCCTGCATGAGTGCACCCCATGCATTCATTCCCCGCATGAAAGCATCCTACCTACAGGCCAATCCTGTCCCTAGATCCTGCTGCACCTGGGTAGTGGAATGGCGGGTTCCTGGGTGCTCACATCACCTGCCTTCCTCCCGCTGCCTAGGCTCTGGCCCATGTGGAGGCCTACATCGACTTTGGGGAGGATGACAACCTGGAGGATGGTGTCCTGGAGCAAGGTGGGCCCACATGGGGGTCGAAGGTGGAGATGGCTGGCATCCTCAGCTTCCAGAGGCCCTCCTCACCCACACCTCTCTGCCTGCTTTCCCCGTCCACAGCGGACAGTGAAGTGCAGGGGCTGGTGGTGGCACTGGACGCGCATCTACGAGATGCCAGGCGTGGGCAGCGGCTCCGCTCAGGGGCACACGTCGTGGTCACTGGACCCCCCAATGCCGGCAAAAGCAGCTTGGTGAACCTCCTCAGTACGTGAAGGGGGATGGGGATGTGGCCTGAGTGGGGTGTTAGCTTAGTGCCAGGGGTGGGGCCAGCAGGTAGGAAACTGAGTCTGTCGAAGGTATTAGAAAAGCTCCGCCCAGCCGAGGGGTGGGGCCTAGGGGAGGAACTCTCTGGCCTCTCCCCCTCCCACTTCTTCTAACTGCCTCCCTCTAGGCCAGAAGCCTGTGTCCATCGTGTCCCCAGAGCCAGGGACTACCCGTGATGTGCTGGAGATCCCTGTGGACCTGGCTGGGTTCCCCGCATTGCTGAGTGACACCGCGGGATTGCGGGAGGGCGTGGGGCCCGTGGAGCAGGAGGGCGTGCGCCGGGCCCGTGAGAGGTGGGCTGGCAGAGTTGTGGGAGGGGTTGTGGGGCCCTTCCTCTGCCTTTTCTCTCTGTTGCACTTATTTTTATTTTTCCTCATTCAGTAAAGGTTGCTAAGCTTCTTCAAGTAGGGGCCTCAGTGATTGGGTTCTAATTAAATGCTGTTCTTGCTGGCCAGCTCCCCTGCCTGCCACACTGTGCCCCCACCTTGTTGTCTCACCTCCTCCACTCCGCCCCCTCCGCCACTCTGCTCCGCCTACTGCATTAATTGCTGTATTCTGGGGTCATTCACCCCTGCTTCTCTCTGCTCCTCCAGGTTGGGGCAAGCTGACCTCATTTTGGCAGTGCTGGATGCCTCTGACCTGACCTCTCCCTCCAGCTGCAATTTCCTGGACACAGTTGTAGCCCTGCTAGGAGCCCAGAGCCAGCGCCTCCTGCTAGTGCTGAACAAATCTGACCTGCTGCCCCCTGAGGGCCTGGGCCCCAGTCTTGACCTGCCCCCCCACCTGCTGCTGTCTTGCTTGACCAGAGAGGGGCTGGACGGCCTCCTGGAGGCCCTAAAGAAGGAACTGGCTGCAGTGTGAGTCCCCTGGCCCACCGCCAGCCTCCCCTGACCCAAGTTCAAGTAGGAGCTGAGCCACTGGCTCTGGCCACATACCTGCCCCTCAGCCTTAGTTTCTGTATCTGCAAAATGGGTACAGCCTTTCCCCCATAAAAATGTGGTTGCAAGGTTGGGAGGGATCACTTCATGTCTTGTCTCTGGCAGGTGTGGGGACCCATCCACAGGCCCGCCACTCCTGACTCGCACCAGACACAGGCATCACCTCCAGGGCTGCCTGGACGCCCTTGGCCACTACAACCAGACTCGAGACCTGGCCTTGGCGGCTGAGGCTCTGCGTGTTGCCCGGAGGCACTTGTCCCACCTCACAGGGGGAGGGGGCACAGAGGAGGTCCTGGACATCATCTTCCGGGACTTCTGTGTGGGCAAGTGAAGGGTGACCCAGAAGCCATGGGACATCTGGAGCAGCTCTTCTCCTCCTCCCAGAACAGTGCAGCACTTCAGCGAGCTTCGGGGTAGCGAGCTCCCTGCAGGTGCGGGGGCCCAGGCCTTGGGGAAGGGCTACAGGGAGGTTGCTTTGGGCACCAGATGCTGGGGTGTGCATGGAGGGCTGGCTGGAGGTGGGAAGATCTCAGGGGTCTTTGTTTCATGGTTTCTGTTTTATTTTTTGCTGGCCTGGGGATGCAGCTTGGGCCTCGGTTACTAGGCAAGTGTTCTACCATGGAGCCACACCCCAGACCCATGGCGGTAACTTATTGTGCAAGTACCCAGGGAATGTGAACAACTCAAGTGATCCAGAAATGTTTCAACATGGGAATCTCCCTACTTGCCCTCTACTGAGGCCACAGCTTAATAGGAGAATTTATAGAACCTTCTCTGCATATTTGCATACTTGTGGATACACCTATGAATTAGATATGGGTTTGTTTGTTTGTCTGGTGCTGGGGATGTAACCCCAGGCATGCCAAGCACCAAGCACGTGCTCTATCTGAGCCGCACTCTCAGCCCTGAGATTTGTATTTTGCATATAAATTGTGTTTATTGCTCTACATGTTGTCATTCCTGTTTCAGCATAAATTTTGAAATTTTGCCTTTTCTTTTTTTGGTACTGGGCATTGAACTTGGGGGCACTCAACCACTGAGCCACATCTCCAGCCATATTTTGCATTTTATTAAGAAACAGGGTCTCACTGAGTTGCTTAGCGCCTCACTTTTCCTGAGGCCGGCTTGGAACCCTCCATCCTCCTGCCTCAGCCTCCCAAGCCACTGGGATTACAGGTGTGCACCTCCGGGCCCGGCTTGAAATTTTGCCTCTTGTATCCTAAAAGTGATTTGCAAAACTTAGGGTCCCTTCTCTTTCCCCAGGCTTAATCTTTGTTCCTTCATTCATTCACTCAGAGGGGCCCTGCGCGGCATGGTGATGATCCCAGCAACTCAGGAGGCTGAGGCAGGAGGGTCACAGGTACAAGGCCAGCCTGGGCAACTTGGCCAGACCCTGTCTCAAAAAAAAAAACAAGAAGGAGGTGAGCATGGTGGCGCACACCTGTACTCCTAGCAGCTTGGAGGCTGAAGCAGGAGGATCGTGAGTTCAAAGCCAGCCTCAGCGAAAGGAAGGTGCTAAGCAACTCAGTGAGACCCTGTCTCTAAATAAAATACAAAATAGGGCCGGGGATGTGGCTCAGTGGGCACGTGCCCCTGGGTTCAATCCCCAGTACCCCCCCCCCCAAAAAAAAACCCCAAAAAAACAAATGAAAAGGGCTGGGATATAGCTCAGTGATAAAGTGTCCCTGGGTCCAGTCCCCAGTACTGGGAGCTGGGTGGGGGTAGGATTCACTGACTTGATGAATATTTAGAAGCCAGAATTGTGTGCAGAATTGTATGCATCTTTTTTTTTTTTTTAGCTGTAGATGGACACAATACCTTTATTTTATTTATTTATTTTTATGTGGCACTAAGGATCAAACCCAGTGCCTTGCACAAGTGAGGTAAGCACTCTATCACTGAGTCACAACCCACCCTGTGCACATCTTTTTAAAACAGTGTCTTTGCAGGACTGTGGATGGAACCCAGGGCCTTACCTGAGCTAGGCAAGTGCCCAGCACTGAGCTCCACCCCCAGCTCCAACACATTTTATATGTACAGCAGCATAATGCAAGGGGGACTTTGTCCCAGTGTGAGGAAACTGAGGCTTGGGGAAATAGTGGCTTGCCAGATGTCCCCCCGCCTTGGATTTGAACACAGGTCTGTTGGGCGCCAAGTTTGAATTTGCCAGTGGCTCTCTATTCAGCAGACGGCACGTCGGGTGCCTGGATCCTGTCCTCATTAGAGGTCAGACACAGCTCATTCCTGTGAGGTCTAATAGCTTCTGTGTGACCCTGTCTCAGAGACCTGACCTGGTCAGGGACCTGAGGGGGAGCTGCTCCTCAGAGGGGTGGAAGAGGTTGGGGAGAGGGCAGCGCATGTGTAAAGGCCCTGGGGCGGGAGCATAGTGGCGTGTTCAAGGAGGGTGAGGTGACAGGGTTTCTGGAGAGGTGGGGACCCAGGAGGAGATGGAGAGGAGGGTGTGGCCTGACAGGTTGGTTGAGACTCTGGGGAGCTGCAGGGAAGGGCGGCCAACCAGCAGGGGGCACCTTCTCCTAGCAGAAGGGCCAGTACTTGTCACCTGGCCTTCTGTCCTGAAGGAGGGCCTCCACCTGGGGGCAGCATACCAATGGCCAACTCCCTTGACGATGGACACTGAGTCTCAGATGAGGTTAGGATCTTTTCCAGAATCAGAAAAAGATTCCCACCTCCAGTGGAGGGAGACGGAAGTCTGCAGTGTTAGGGGTCATCCAGGGGCAGAGAGGGCAAGGCAGAGATCTTTAGGAGACTCACAGAATCCCCACCCACCCAGCAGAGAAGGGACCCTGTCCCCCTGTTTCTTCACAGACTTTATTGCAGCATTACTATTTGTTAGTTGATTTGCTTGTACCAAGAATTGGGAAGGCTGAGGCAGGAGGGTCACAAGTTCAAGGCCAGCCTCAGCAACTTATCAAGATCCTGTCTCAAAAGGGCTTGGGATGTGGCTCAGTGGTAAAGCGTCCCTGGGTTCAATCCCCCAGTACAAAAAAACAAAACAAAACGAACCTTCTGATGGTGAAGTAAATCATTAAAAAAAAAAAAAAAAGAGTTGGGTGACCCCTGGAGGGAAAGGGTAATATGGGCTGAATCCGTGGGTATTACTGTTGTGCCCATTTTTCAGATAAATAAACTGAGGCCCAGAGAAGAAAAGCAGTAATGAGGGTCCCGGGGCCAGGGGTGGGGCTCAGTGGTAGAGCTTGCCAAGTGCCCACGAGGCCCTGCTCCCGTCCCCAGCACTGCAAAATATGACAGCATGGGTCCAGGGGGGGAGGGCCCAGAGGGCTTCCAGGAGGGGTGTGCAGTGCCAGGCTCTGCGGGGATGGAGACTGTCTCTGGGCAGGACGCCTGGCCCCACCCACCACCCCTCATCCCACGCAGGGGCCCTGGCACACAGCTGGACTGAGGTCCTTGGCTACAGTCCCTTTTTTCCAAGAAGGGTGAGGTGGCTTGTGGGAAGCAGCGGGGGGTTATTTATAGAGGTTGTAGGAAATCCCCAAAGAGTCAGTGCCTCACCCAGAGGCTGGACCTCAGGGTCAGGGACCTGCCAATTGCCCCCTGCTGGGTTTTCAGTCCCCTTCCGCCCCTGGACCAGCCATGGCCAGGGACACTCCATTCAGGAGAAAAGTTGGAGAGGAGGAGCAATGAGGATGGGGTGCCCAAGAGGGAGCAGGGCTGTCTGCGGGCATTAACAGGGCTGCCTGGAGGAGGAGGTCTCTAATGCTGGGCCGCATGGGAAGAAGCAGTAAGGGGAAAGCCACTCTGGTCTGAGGACACTGCCTGCATTAGAGCTTGGTGAGTCTTCAGCCAGAGAATCAAACATCCAGGAGCCCCGGAAACAAAGGTGGCACCGTGTCTGGGGGTGGGCGTGGCACAGAAGGGCTGAGGAGCCAGACTTTGTGCAAGGGTAATGGGGAGCCATGTGAGGTGTGCGAGCAGGAGAGGGACTTGGTCAGATTCCATGATAGAAGGACCCCTCTGGACCAGGAAAGCAGAGGTTAAGGTTTGGGCTTGCAGGAGCCCAAGCAGGGCAGGGTCCTGGGCCAGAGACGGGCCTGCGTGCCTGGATGATTTAGGATTGTCATTTTCATTTATTTGTTTGCTTTTGAGGCAGAGCCTCATTGTGGGCCCAGGCTGGCCCTGAAATTCTGGGTCCAAGTACTCCTCTTGGATGACGGGCAAGTGCCCTTGTGCCTAGCTTGAGAATCATGATTATGCCCATTTATTGATGAGAAAAATGGAGGCTGATAACTGAACTGAGTTGGAACTTGGGATGTGGGACTCCCAGAGCTCCAGGCTGAGCAGCCCGCTCAGGGCAGGGACGTCCCGTTTCCTTGGGGCTCCAGACAGCCTGGCCCTGCTGACCCCCGCCCTGCCCTGGCCCAGCCCCAGCCGAGTGTTTCCTGCAGCGACGCTCTCGCCTGCGCTTCCGTATCCCGGAAATATCAGTCCTTTGTCCCTCCAGACCAGGCTGCCCCAGCACGAGCACAGCGCTGCCAGCCCTGGCTCCGTCTCGTCCCCTCTGCAGGATCCCAGGGGGGTGGAGGACAAACCCAGAATCCCAACTGCAGTCTCAGCCCGTCTCCCCTGGGTGGCCGCGCAGTGTCCCCTGGCGTTTTTTCTTCTTAGGACTCAGGGCTCAGGAAGGGGGAGCGCGCCTTCTCCTCTCCACCTGCCCCGGCGTTGGTGGCTTTTGATGTCCTTTCCTCCCACACCCGGGTACAGCCTCGCTCTCCTCTGTTCCCTCAACTTACCTTCCTCCATGCCACCTGGCTGGGCGAGATCAAGTGCGCCCAGATTGGTGGCTGGTGGGGTCTGGGCGTTAAAGACAAAACCAATAAGAACAAATGGCCAGGGACTTTTGTGACATTGCTCCTGCACTCATTCTGCGAGGAGCATTCCTGCAACGAGTGCGCTGCTTGTGGCGCTTCAGAGACCGCGACACCGAGCTCCCTGCCACCCAGGAAGGCAAAGCTGAGAAGCCCGTTAGACACTAAACGTCCCAGCGGTGCCCGGTGCCGTCCCAGGGCAGGCTCTGTGGCCGTGTCAAGAGGCCTGTGTTGTGTCCCTGGTGCTGGTCCCAGACAGCGGGGTCCTCAGTCCGGGGGACACGGGGGAGGGGCTCCCCCGCTCTCCTCTCTCCTGTTCCTCCCTGTGGCCCTGGTGCCTTCAAAGCAGGAGTCAGGACCCTGAGTCTTTGAAGGGATTTGCTAATATTTATTAGGTGCCACTAGTGTCATAACAGGCCACAGGCAGGGAGGGGTGGGAGGGAAGGGGACGCTCTCCGCACTGGACCCTCACCCCTGGACCAGGCTCTCCCTCACAAGGGGAGCCTGGAAACTCTCCAGGAGGTGCGCCTGGAAACTCTCAAGGGAGCCTGGAAACTCTCAAAGGGTTGGAGGTGAATGGCTTCCTGTTCTCACCTCCTGGTCCAGGCGCTGGGAGATAAGGAAGTTGGAGGAGGGGATGGTGGGACACAGGGCTGTGCAGAACGCAGGGTGACACTGTGGTGCCTTGGTCCCTGGGGTAGGGCAGAAAGTGAGTATAAAGTGAGTGTTACGTGGGTGCTGCATAGGTGTGTGGCATTGTCACTGTGTGCAGTGATCGCTCTCTGTGACACCCTCCATGTGTCTGTGTGACATTGCTGCATCTGTGTATGATGTTGTCATAGACTTTCAGGGGAACATTGTCCCTGGCTTTGTGACATCGTGGCTGCAGCTGTGGGCGACCTCATCACCGTGTCTAGGGGTGAGGGGTTGTGGGGTGCGGTGTGGGGCTGGGAGAGGCTATTGGAGCATGTGAGGGGGGCCTCCTGGCTGCTGGCCTGGGCCCTGGATGCGAGTGTCCTTCTGCGCTGTCGGCAGGCGGGCGGGCAAGCTGGGCGCCCGCCCCTCACTCTTCGGGCCACCGTCCTCAGCCACTAAGGCGGGAG